CGCGCCGCCGCCGTCCAAGGACCTAAAATTCCGCTGCGAGAGGAAGAAGAGAGAAACAAGTATTATAATAGAACGATCGGTAACCGCCCAGAACCAGAAATTTGGCACCAGCGGCTCGGACACCCGTCAAAGGCCACACTTAACAATTCCATTGAGGCCCAAGTCTTCGACACAAGCGGACTTCTTTTACCTGGCGGTGAAACACTCATAGCAACATCTCCCAACCCGACGTGCATCGTCTGTCCGACCGCATCACTCGCTCACAAGCCCTTCCCGGACTTACCTCCAGGCTACGAACGTTACCAACCGCTCGAGAATATCTACAGCGACTTCATGATACTTAGCCAAGAAGGACTTGACAGGTTAAACAACAAGATGACCTTCATCGACGCCTGCACGTGCTACGTCTGGGCCGTCAACATCAATTATCATTCGCGAGCCTTCGACTGCTTTGTCACCTGGATGAAGCGCGCCGAACGTTAATCGGGACTAAAACTGAAAAGCTTCCAGACAGATGGAGGGTTGGAGCACTTCTCAACTAAGTTCAAGGAACTCTTTGCCAAGAAGGGAATCGAACACCTGGTTTTCCTGCCCTATGCACACGAACAGCAAGGAGTAGCAGAACGAACAAATAGGAGCCTCGCCACAAGGATGAGAGCCCTCATGGAGTAGTCTACCATCCCAACACGGTACTGGCCGTTCGCGATGAACCATGCTGTCCGACTGCACAACTTGCACTCATCCCGAGGCCTCAAGAACTTCACTTCGCCTTACAATGCCTTGGGCGGGCAGAAAAGCTGACACACGTCTGCTTCGGGTGTTCGGCTGCATGGTACAGTATGGACCCCATATGGCAAGAACTGGAAAATTTGCTGACTGGACACGTTGGGGCATTCACCTCAGGATCAAAAGGAGTTCAAAGCATGGATCGTGCTAGACTACGCGACACACGAAGTGTCGAAATCACGTGATTGCATCTTCTACGACAAGCTGACAAGGCACCAGAGAGAGTTTTTGAGGGACACCGCAGCTTCGCCACGTCACACGATGAGGCTAACGTGGGAGAGGATGCAGACGCAACGGACGTCACACCGATTCCTTTTCCAACATCCCCCTTCTAGACTCCAACCTTCATACATGTCTCCCAATTTGATTCGGACAATACAACTCGTGAAGCCCAAAACTACAACAGTACCGCGCGCCAATCTCTGGATGTCAAGTTACCACCGTCAAACACCTTGTGAGACACCATTTGCAATGGCCACGACACCGATCACGACGTTGTTAAAGTTACCAGCATGCACGACTACGATCGCCTCGCCTATGGAGACACGCAGTTCGCCACGCCTCACCCAAGGAACCTACCGCCGTGCGCCAGGCCCTGTCTGGGCCCAACAGTGGTAAGTGGAAAGCAGCCATGGCGGCTGAGGTAGCAGCACTAAAGCGGCGCTGGACCTGGAAGTCGGTTCCCCGATCATTTGCAAAGGGGAGAAAAATCGTAATCGACAAATGGGTTTTGTTGGTGCAACCCTATGGTTTGCACTCGGCTTGTTGTCCTTGTGCGTGCATGCGTGTGTGCATGGAATGGTATGAGGGCATGAGATAATATATATTTCATGCTTATAATAGTGTGTGAATGATGAGTCATGATGTTGAATGTGTGTGTCGAGTCAATAGCGAGTTATCGCTTGTCACGTGTCACGTCGTCGTTTGCATGTCGTGTGCGGTTTTCTATTTTGTCATGTGTGGAACGTCCGGCATGTTGCAGGTGGTGCAGCAGACTTTCAAGAAGTCAAGGATGATTTTATGGTGAAGATCCAGAGCCTTGGTTGCAAGACTCAAGTGATTTTGAAGCTCACCGAAAGGGTAAACTTCAAGATAGATTTGTTAAATTACAATGTGTAGCGTAACATTTCTCTTGGTGTAGGCCCTTGTGGAGGGTAGTTTCGAGACCCTTCTTGGTTGGGGACAGTGTGGCACTGTTCCACATCACTGTACCTCGGCTCTTTGGTTTGTAGAGGCTGGGAGGTTTTCCCACCTCGTAACTTCTTCCTATCTTGTGTCCTTAGACTAAAATTGCTGCTAGACCGCCATTTGCTCAAACTACTCTTACGTCGTCATTTCTTTATCAAATTATGTGATTCAACTTGATAATTGTAGACCCGTCAAGTCGCTCCAGATCCAATTTGTAGCACATCATTTGGTGCTGTGACCAGAACGTTATCATTGTTTGGAGTCGCTCTGCCGAAATCCGTCTATGCACATTATCTTTTGTTTAGGCACATTCAAGCCTATTGTGACTGAAACATTCTTTTTTCGGATCAAAACACGACAGCTCATCAACAAATACAAGGCGCGGTGGGTGGTATGCGGCTTCGAGCAAACTCACATGGTGGATTACGATCAAACCTTCGCACCGGTCGGACGACACACCTGGTGCGCATTCTCATCTGCATCGCCGCCTCTCGTTAAGGAGCGCCTCCTCCGCCAAATCGATGTCTCCAATGCGTTCCTCCATGAGATCGTCGACGCCATCATCTTTGTCAAGCAGCCGCACGTCTTTGAAGAAAGCAACAGCGCCGTCTGCCTCCTCCAAAAATCTCTCCACAGCATCAAACAAGCGTCTCGCCTGTGGCAGCAGTGCCTGCACACCGTCCTCATCGAGCTCGGGTTCGCTCAGCTGTCGCACGATCAAGGCATGTACCGGAAGGAGTCCCACGGCAACTTCATACTTCTAGTCGCCTACGTGGATGACTTACTCTACACCGGTGACAACGCAGAACTCCTAAACCGCTTTGACGAGGAGATCAAGGAGAAGTTGGAAGTAACGAGCAATCACAACGTCACGCGATTCCTCGGACTAAATATCACCTAGTGCGCCACTTCCATCCACCTCTATGCCACCAAGTACGTGGAAACACTTGCGAAGGAATTCGCAATCGCCCTGATCAACCTAACCACCCCTTTCCGCACTCCTCCTCCTAATCAAGAACCAGACACTACGCCGCTCTCCATCGAAAATCATCGACTCTATCAGCAGCAACTAGGATGACTGTTGTTTGCCGTTGTCACGTCGTAAGCTAGCTCGCACAATACCTGCGCTGACCTGAAGGGAAGAACCTTCTAGACCTACGCCAAGCACTTCAATACTTCATCTCTACTCCTGACGCCGGGCTCACCTACATGGCAAACTTAACAGCTACCCTACAGCTTCACGGCTACGTAGACGCAGACCATGCCGGAGACATTGACAACAGACGCTTCCGCACAAGCTTCATTTTTCAACTCCAACCTGCAGGACTCATCTTATGGAACTCCCAAAAGTAGGAGCTCATCGCTCTTTCGTCAGCCGAAGTTGAATACATCGCCGCCAACGTTGCTGTTCGCGAAGGATTGTACGTGATGGAACTCTTTCATGAGGCGAAGGCGACGATGAATGCCCACTTCACGTTACTCTGTGACAACCAGAGCGCGATCAAGATCGCAAAAAAACCTGGTTTTTTTAACCCCACGAAGCATATCGCACCCCGTTACTTCTTCGTCAAGGACGAGATCGACAACGGCAAATTCAAACTCACATATTGCCCAAATGGCGACATGGCAGCAGATTTCGTAACAAAGAAGCTACCATGTCAGAAGTTTCAGCACTGCACCGACCTCTGCGGGATCTCGAAGAAATCCCACGTGGCTCACTTCTAGGAATGAAGGGGAGTGTTGGAATAACCAATGGTTATTATAACATTCCCGAAGGCTTCCCTTAGTGCATCGCTACACAACGAGCAACAGTCACAATTAGTCAATGGTCGCGACTGTTGACCACCTAGTAACCACACTCGGAGGTTACACTATGCAACATAATAACTGTCGAGTATAGCAATATTCACTGTTACAAGAGTAATGCAATACAGTTAATAAGGGAATGTACCCCTCATGATATATGGCTAGCTAGGATTGCTATTTAAACTCCTTGTACTTCTATCTTACCGTATCACCCTTGATAGTAGCGCCTGTCAAACTCATATACTATAGTCTGTGTAGGCTGTAGTGGGGTAGCTTACATGGGGTACAACACTTTAGGGTTTGGTACTTGTACTCCTCATGCTGCTCAATGCATCCATTCCTCGTTCTCATTTTCACATGGTTTCAGAGCAGGTTCCCTAGTGGGAACTTTTCCTAGGGCCCACCCAAATCGATTTTTTTTTTCTTTCTGCCCGGGGCGCGAGTCGCCCCTGCCCGAGGCGCGCTCGGTGTGCTGCCCTTACGCGGCCCGTCGCGCCCTCCTCACGCTGCCTTACGCGACCCCTTCGCCGCCCTTAGCGGCCCCGTCGCCCCACCTTCGCGGCCCCGTCGCCGCCCTTAACGGCCCCGTCGCCCCTCGCGGCCCCGTCGCCGCCCTTCCGCGGCCCCGTCGCCGCCCCTTACGACCCCGTCGCTGCCCCCTTCGCGGCCCCGTCGCCGCCCCTTGCGGCCCCGTCGCCGCCCCTTCGCGGCCTCGTCGCCGCCCCTTGCGGCCCCGTCGCCGCCCCTTGCGGCCCCGTCGCCGCCCCTTGCGGCCACGCCGCCGCCCTTCAGCGGCTCTGCCGCCCTTCGCGGCCCCGACGCCGCCCTACCGCAGCCTCGCCGCCGCCCCTCTGCGGCCCCGCCGCCACCCCTCACGGCCCCGAGACCGCCGAGCCGCCGAGCTGCCAACCGCCGAGCCGCCGAGCCGCCGAGCCGCCGTTGCTGCAGTTGCCACCGGGCCGCCGAGCCGCCGAGCATCCGAGCCGTTGAGCCGCCGAGCCGCCGAGCCGCCGAGCCGCCGAGCCGCCGAGCCGCCGTTGCCGCCGAGCCGCTGTTGCCGCCGTTGCCTCAGCCGCTGCAGCCGAGTTGCCGCCGTCCCTGCAGTCGCGGCCCTGTCCCTCCCGGCGAGCCTCGGCCCTTCTCGCTTGCCCGGTAAGAGCAGCGCCTCTGCCACTGCACTGCCCTTAGCCTGCTGCTCTCACTGCTCGTCTACTGCTGTCATGGCCACCCCCAGTGTTCTCACCTTTGACGCTGAGGGTCGGGCTGTTGACTTTGAGGTCTGGCTCGATGATCTGCAGCTTTTCCTACAGTGCGATAGGGCAGACGGTCTCTCCCTCTTTGACCTCACTTCTGGTGCCTCTCCTTCCCCTGCTGCTGATGCTGACGCCACTGTTCGCTCACAGTGGGCCACGCGCGATGCTGCTGCCCGCCTTGCTGTGCGCCGCCACTTGCCGACCGCTGAGCGTGCGCACTTTAGTCAGTACAAGAGTGCTAAGACCTTGTACGACGCTGTAGTTGCACGCTACTCTTCCCCTGCCACTGCTGCGCTCAGCCGCCTCATACTGCCGTACCTCTTCCCTGACCTCGCCGCTTTTCCCACTGTCGCTGACCTCATTACGCACCTTCGCACTAGTGACATTCGCTACCGCGCTGCGCTTCCTGCTGAGTTCTGCGCCAAGAACCCCCCCCCCCCCCCCCCCCCATGTACATCACCCTCTACTACATAGTCACCCGGCTCCCTGACACCCTTCGCTCGGTCAGGGACCACTTTCTCTCTGTTTGCCCCACCACTCTCACCGTTGACCTCCTCGAGGAGCGTCTCCTAGCAGCAGAGAAGAGCATAGTTGCTGTAGGAGCCTCTCGTGGTGACCCTCGTACCCCTGTCTTTGAGGGGTGCTCCCCCTCCCCCCTCTTGCCCTCTGTTGCCTCTGCTGCTGCGGTCGACCTTGTTGGTCTTGAGTCGGTCGCTGCGGCGTCTACCTCTAGTCCAAGGGCGCCCGGGCAAGGGCAAGGGAGGCAAGGGCGCTGGGGGAGCTTGCGGAGGCGGTGGAGGCGGCGGTGGAGGAGGCGGAGGGAGTGGAAGTGGCGGTGGGAGTGGTGGTGGGAGTGGTGGTGGGAGTGGGGGCGTTAGTGGAGGCAGCGGCGGCGGAGGAGGGGGCGGTGGTGGAGGTAGCGGCGGCGGAGGTGGAGCGGGTCGGGGCGGCTCTACGCAGAGGGTCGGCTCCGGTGGTGGTACGCGCCAGCAGCAGCAGCAGCAGCAGCGTACTCGTGAGACCCCTTCCCCCCAGCAGCTTCGTGAGTGGTACACTGCTCGTCAGCGGGGCGGGGGTGCTGGCCCCTGTACCTACGTTCTCCGTACCGGCGACCGAGCGGGTGAGAAGTGTGGGGGAGCGCACTCCACCCAGCGCTGCTTCGGCCGTCTGTCGGACGTGTGGCGTCACCAGTTCCCCGACGCTACTGAGATCCCTCGCTGGGGCGAGCTGTCTAGGGTAGGTGTTGCGATCTTTGATCTTGATTATGATGCTATTCTTGCTGCCATGTATGCTGTGACTATTAGTGATGAGGGTGACTGTTACCGGTGTTTTCCGCCTGACCCGGGCATTGAGGCTGCTGCGCTAGGTGCTTGTGAGACTGCTGCTCTAGGTGCCAGTGCGTCTGCCGCCCCAGGTGCCGGTGAGTCTGCGCTCTCAGGTACTGCGTCGTCTCCGGACACCCACACCTTCACCCTTGACTCGGGTGCTTCCCGCTCCTTCTTTCGAGACTGCACCACTCTCACGCCACTCAGTCGGCCCGTTGCAGTCTCCCTGGCAGACCCCTCTGGGGGTCCTGTTCTTGCCCACTACTCCACTGTCCTACCGTGTCCAGCGGTCCCGTCTGGCTCCCTGTCGGGTCTTTACCTCCCCTCGTTCTCTACGAACTTGGTGGCGGGTGCTGACCTCCAGGATGGGGGGGTTGACCAGTTCACCCCTGCGCGTCAGCGGGTGACTCACTGCACGTGTGCAGACACGGGCCGACACTTGGCCACGTTTACCCGTCGGCCGGGGTCGAGCCTGTACACACTGACTACTGAGTCTCCTCCAGTCACTGAGTCTGCTCAGGTAGCAGCGTCGGGTCAGGTGTTTGCTGCGGCGTCCAGGTCTGGTCCTGAGTCTGCCCCCTGCTCGTGTCGTCTCCTGTCCCACCGGACTCTCCTCTGGCACCACCGCCTTGGTCACCCCTCCCTGCCTCGCCTTCGAGGCATGGCTTCCCGTCTTCTTGTCTCTGGCCTCCCCCGGTCCCTCCCTCCCCTTCCTCCGGGGCCTGCCCCCACCTGCGTTCCCTGCGTCGAGGGGCGGCAGCGCGCTGCTCCTCACTCCTCCGAGTTTCCTCCGACAGAGGCTCCGCTGCAGACGCTTCACATGGACGTGTGGGGCCCAGCCCGCGTCCGTGGGCAGGGTCACGAGCGTTACTTCCTGCTGGTGGTTGACGACTACTCGCGTTACACCACAGTCTTCCCCTTGCGCAGCAAGGGTGACGTCACTGAGGTGTTGATCGCCTGGATCCGCGCAGCTCGTCTCCAGCTCCGGGAGAGTTTCGGCTCGGACTTTCCTGTTCTGCGTCTGCACTCCGACAGAGGCGGAGAGTTCTCCTCTGACCTTCTGCGGGCCTTCTGTCGTGCACGAGGCATCCGCCAGACCTTCACGCTTCCGGACTCTCCGCAGCAGAATGGGATTGCTGAGCGCCGCATTGGCATGATCATGGACGTCGCTCGTACGTCCATGGTCCATGCGGCTGCCCCCCATTTTCTGTGGCCGTTTGCGGTTCGGTACGCGGCGCATCAGATCAACCTTCACCCCCGGGTCTCCATGCCGGAGACCTCCCCTGCTTTGCTGTGGACGGGGAAGGCTGGCGATGCGTCTGCGTTCCGTGTCTGGGGATCTCGGGCGTTTGTCCGCGACTTGTCTGCGGACAAGCTGTCCTCTCGTGCTGTTCCCTGCGTCTTCCTTGGCTTCCCTCCTGACGCGCCAGGCTGGCAGTTCTACCACCCCACCTCGCGCCGTGTTCTGTCCTCCCAGGACGTCACCTTTGACGAGTCGGTTCCCTACTACCGTCTCTTCCCCTACCGCACTGCGTCCCTCCCTCCCCCGCCGCTCTTCCTTACGCCAGGTCCCCCTCCGGTAGACCCCCTCAGGGTCCTGCTCCCTCAGGTGTGTCCCAGGTAGATGCAGTCGAGCCTGTCGAGGTAGCTGTTGACTCTGGTGCTGCTGGGGGTGCTGAGCCTGGGAGTGCTGAGTCTGGGGGTGCTGAGACTGGGGGTGCTGAGCTTGAGGGTGCTGCGCCTGGGGGTATTGAGCTTGGGGGTGCTGCGCTTGGGGGTGCTGAGCCTGGGGGTGCTGCGCCTGGGGGTGCTGAGCCTGGGGGTGCTGTGTCTCGGAGTGCGGAGCCTGAGGGTGCTGGGCCTGCTCGTGTGGCGTCTGGTGGTGCTGGGCCTGGAGGTTCTTCGGGTGCTTCGTCCCGGCGGGAGCTACTCTCTCCACAGGAGCTGCGTGAGTGGTTTGCCCGGCGCTGGAGGCGTGCTGCTGGAGCTGGCGGTGCTACGGACGCTGGAGGTTCTGCTGCTGCTGAGGGTGCTGGTGCAGAGGGTCCCAGAGGTGCTCGTACAGGGTGTACTGGAGCTGCTGGGCCTACGGGTGCTCCTCCTGCTGGAGCTGGTGGTGCTGCTGGTGCTGCTGGTGCTCTTGGAGCTAACGCTGCTGCGTCTTCTGGTGGTCCGACTGGAGCTGGCGCTGCTGGGGGTGTTGGCACTGGAGGTGCTACTGGCGCTGGTGCTTCTGAGGGTGCTGGAGTTGGCGCTGCTGGAGCTGGGGGTTCTCCTAGTGCTGGAGCTGCCGTTCGGGGTGCTGGTGCTGTTCCTGCTGGTCCTGGCGGAGCTGCGCGGCCACGGCCGTACTTCGTTCCGCTCCTTGAGCAGGTTCTTGGTCTTCCGTCCTCTCTTGGTCCTGCTCCTCCCTTAGCGTGTCCGCCTCCTGTCCAGTCTGAGTCACAGTTACAGCCAGCCTCCCCGCTTCCTTCTCCTTCTCCCTACACTGGTCCTACTGGAGGTCTTGCTGAGCGTCGTGAGCCTGCGTCTCGCCCTGCGTCGCCTGTCCGTGCTGCTCGCACTAGTGGTCGTGGTTCGCGTCAGCGTCCTCCCCCTGTCCCCGGCACGCACCGGATGTCTCTGCGTCCTTCCACTGCTCCGCTGCGTGCCCCTTTGATTTCTCCTCCCGCGTCCTCTCTTTCTGACCATCCTGACCCTGAGTCGGACTCCCTTCGTGCTGCGCGTCCTACTGTCACGCGTCTCCTTGCTACTGTCGTCACTGACCCTTCCTTTGAGTCTACTGCTGCGTCTGCCCTGGTTGCTGAGCTTGTCGACTTCGCTGCTCGCTGTCGCCTAGACTACGCTGCCAGTCTCGTCGCTGAGTCTGAGTCTGTCTGTCCTCCGTCCGTCGGGGGTGAGTGTGCTCTTGGCACGGACGTCCTTGAGGACAGGCAGGAGGAGTTCGAGTGCTTTGCCTCATCTCGTGTCCATGCTGCTTGCCCCTGAGGGAGACCCGGATGCACTTGACATCCCGACTCCGCGCTCTTACGCGGAGGCGATAGAGGGTCCCTACTCCTCTCAGTGGCAGGCAGCCATGGACGCAGAGATGGCTTCCTGGAAGTCCACAGGCACCTACGTTGACGAGGTTCCCCCACCTGGGGCGAACATCGTCAGTGGCATGTGGATTTTCAGGGTGAAGCGGCCGCTGGGTTCTCCGCCTGTCTTCAAGGCGCGTTACGTGGCTCGTGGCTTCAGTCAGCGGCAGGGAGTTGACTACTTTCAGACCTTCTCTCCCACCCCGAAGATGACCACTCTTCGGGTACTGCTGCACATAGCCGCTCACCGAGACTACGAGCTGCACTCTCTTGACTTCAGCACTGCTTTCTTGCAGGGCAGCCTGCACGAGGAGATCTGGCTGCGCCGCCCCCCTGGCTTCACTGGGTCGTTTCCTCCTGGCACCCAGTGGAGCCTCCGGCGGCCAGTCTACGGTCTCCGCCAGGCACCTCGTGAGTGGCACGACACACTGAGGACTACACTTGCGGCTCTTGGGTTTGCTCCTTCTACTGCCGACCCGTCGCTGTTTCTGCGCACCGACTCTTCTTTGCCGCCGTTCTACATCCTCGTGTACGTCGACGACTTGGTCTTTGCTACAGCTGACACTGCTGGACTTGCCTACGTGAAGTCCGAGCTGCAGAAGAGACACACGTGCACAGACCTGGGTGAACTGCGCAGCTACCTTGGCTTGCAGATCACCCGGGACAGAGCACAGCGCACCATTACCCTGACTCAGTCACACATGGTGCAGCAGGTCCTTCAGCGCTTCGGCTTCACGTACTCCTCGCCTCAGGCCACTCCTCTGGCTACACGCCACTCGCTCTCAGCTCTGCCTTCGGATGAGTCCGTAGAGTCGAGTGGCCCGTACCCAGAGCTTGTTGGCTGCCTCATGTACCTGATGACCTGCACTCGACCTGACCTTGCATACCCTCTTAGCATTCTGGCACGCTATGTTGCTCCTGGGAGACACAGACCAGAGCACATGGCTGCAGCGAAGAGGGTGTTGCGCTACTTGTGCAGTACGTCGGGCATGGGGCTTGTGCTTGGAGGGCAGAGTCCAGTGGTCCTCACTGGTCACGCAGACGCTTCTTGGGCTGACGACCAGGCTACGCAGCGGTTGTCACAGGGTTACACCTTCAGTCTTGGTTCCGGCTCTGTTTCGTGGCGGTCTACCCGCTCGTCTTCTGTTCTCGGCTCCAGTTGTGAGGCTGAGATCTACGCAGGGGCCATGGCTGCACAGGAGCTACGCTGGCTCACCTACCTGCTGACTGACCTGGGAGAGCCGCCTCGTTCTCCTCCAGTGCTGTACGTAGACAACAAGGCCATGCTGGCCTTGTGTCGGGAGCACAGACTGGAGCACAGAACGAAGCACATCGCTCTTCGCTACTTCCTTGCTCGTGAGCTGCAGCAGCGTGGTCAGCTGCGCCTTGCTTACGTGGCCTCTCAGGCCAACACTGCTGATATCTTCACTAAGGCACTCGCGCCTTGTGATCATCAGCGCTTCTGTACTCTGTTAGGTCTTGTGCCTACCTTGCCTCACTTGCTCACTTCTTGACCTTGCTTGTACTGTTACATATATATATACCTGCTCTTGCTTGTTTAGCGTTATATATATGTAATCTTGCATGTGAACTGGCCTTTGTTGTAAGAGTATCTTAGGCAAGATAGTAGGAACCCTAGGTATGGCGAGAGTTAGGAACGAGAGTCGAGAGAGAAGGCCAAAAAAGAGGATGATTCAATATTGAACGAGGGTACAAATAGGAGAGAACAAACAAGAAAGGTGCACCACCAAATAGGAAAACGTTATAACTACAGTATTCTACACTACAGGCAGTTATAGAACAATATATAGAATTATATATTATTCTGACACGCCCCCATAAGTGCCTGTAGGAAGAATGTGCAATCAACGCCCCCATAATGGGGTACACCAGACAGAGTGCAGCGGAAGAAACAGTGGCAGGCAAAAGCACTGATAGCCGGTGCAGAAGTGGCAAATACAGCTGTAGCACACCCTTAGCCAAGGCAGAAACAAAAGCAGGTGTAGGGGCGGCAGGTCGCCTGAGGAGCAGGCTCTGTGGCTGCAACGTGCAGCAGGACAGCAGCGGCTCGACGGCAGCACCTGCAGGCCCCAGCAGCAGGCAACAGAAGCAAAGGCAGCAAAGGCAGGTGGCGGCAGGGGCGGCAGCTGGAGGTGCCACGGTAGCAGCGGGCGGCAGCAGCAGATGCCCGGCTGACTTCCGCCACCCTCTCTCACCCCCCCCCCCACTGCTGCTCACGCAGCAGTGAGAGAGAGAGGAGGAAGGGCGGCTGCTGGCTCGACATAATCTCTCTCGCCACCCCCTCACACTCCCCCGATTTCCCCATAGCGACAGGCGCTGCAGGGAGAGAGAGGAGAGAGGAGGGCGGCGGCCGGTTCCTGCGGGTACACTCCCGCCACCCCTGCACCCTCCCCCCCACAGCGACAGTCGCGTATGGGGCGATAAAGGGCGACTGCAGGCGCTGCTGGCGTCTCACAGCGTCCATCCCGTCACACCGCCTCCCCCGATGTCTGCCACGCCCACGACCTCCCCCCGCAGCAGGAGCGCGCACGGCAGCAGCAAGTGCGACAGTTGCAGCAAGACCGGCGGGAGGGTGGGCGGGGACAGTTGCTCGGACACGACGAGCGGGACAGAGGGCCGTAACGGAGGCGCGACGAAGCTGCGACGGGGCAGCGTGGGCCGCGAACGACGGGGCGACGAGGCAGCGCGACGAGTAGAGCGCCGCCTTCGCCCCGTCGATCGCGCTGACGATCAGGACCGTCGCGGATTTCGACGCGACGGTCATTGTGGCGGCACGATAGCAGCAGAAACTCGTCGGGAGGGAGGGCCGCCATGCTAGGGTCGAAAAGCGGTGGGCCCGTTGATCGGAAACTAGCTCTGATACCATGTTGTAAGAGTATCTTAGGCAAGATAGTAGGAACCCTAGGTATGGCGAGAGTTAGGAACGAGAGTCGAGAGAGAAGGCCAAAAAAGAGGATGATTCAATATTGAGCGAGGGTACAAATAGGAGAGAACAAACAAGAAAGGTGCACCACCAAATAGGAAAACGTTATAACTACAGTATTCTACACTACAGGCAGTTATAGAACAATATATAGAATTATATATTATTCTGACAGCCTTGTGGCCTTGAACTTGTGCTCAGAGTGTGTGGTGACGTTGTGATCCACCCTGAGCTTGCTTTGCCTTGCTTTGCTTGACTGGTCTTGTGACCCCTTGTTCTCCCCCACTTTGCCTATGGGGGTGTGTCAAACTCATATACTATAGTTTGTGTTGGCTGTAGTGGGGTAGCTTACACGGGGTACAACACTTTAGGGTTTGGTACTTGTACTCCTCATGCTGCTCAATGCATCCATTCCTCGTTCTCATTTTCACAGCGCTGTCCTATGAAAAGCACCGGCACTTCTATCTGGAGCCATGCGCTTATGGCCGGTCCTCAATTATAAGCGCACACCCCCTCTGGAAAAACTTTACTTATTATATGCGCACGTACATTTTTTATTCAAAATCCTGTTTAAAACAGTAACGAAATTCATTTTTACAGTGA